AACAGTTAGAATCTGGTTTCCAAAAAACTAATATTGTTAATTAAGAAATGCAATTTTAACTGGAGATTTTCAACAGTTAGAATCTGGTTTCCAAAAAACTAATATTGTTAATTAAGAAATGCAATTTTAACTGGAGATTTTCAACAGTTAGAATCTGGTTTCCAAAAAACTAATATTGTTAATTAAGAAATGCAATTTTAACTGGAGATTTTCAACAGTTAGAATCTGGTTTCAAAATGAATTATAAGTTAGTCTCATTTTTGAAGTTAGCAGCCCAGAGAGAAATATCTGAAGAAAAATCTTTGGTAACAATATTTTTTTTTGTAAATGACGTGTTAATTTAAAGAAGGCTTCAGAGTTTCACCTGTGTTTGTTACTATAAAATCAAAACAGATAAGCATGATGTTAACAAATTTAATACACTAATTGTTTCACCAACTTGACCCTAACTGGTTTGTAGTTATAATTGCAGATGTTACTTTTGTATGAATAAAGGTTAGTTTAAGCTACCTTTGATTTTTATACTTGGGGACCATAGTTTCAGTTTCCTGTTATTAAATGTGAGTTGCAAGTTTGGAAACAAGTGTTATCAGGTTCTTTCTAGATATACACCCAAACTGTGGGCCTCATAGCTATAGATACACAAAGGTTATTAAATCAAAACTTTTCAAATTAGTTTGTCGACTTTATCTAGCTTACTTCCAAACTTAGATGATTGAATTTAGAACTTGAAAGTCAGTGTTATTTACCTAATAAATTAAAACAAAATATTAAGAAAGCAGTAACTAGCATTTACTGTTGTATGAGAGTGATAGTTAAAACTAAATAGTTGGAATGTAGGTTGTTATTTATACATTATTTTGTATTAATTTTAACTTTTATTTTTCTTTCTAACACAGTGACGAGCCAATAACAAATTGTTAGATTAATAAGTAATCATGACTGAGTAGCTTGCTCCAAATTTAAAATAATTACTGGGTTTTTAGTATCTTTGAACAGTGATTCTTAACCTTTTCAGGCTCTCATTTCACTTTTTGTTTAAACTGTTTTTGTTTTTTGAAGTTCAAACCTATGCCTGATTTAAAAAAAAACAAACTAATAGATATAACAGCAAAAATTAATATCTTTAACACTTACCCATTAATTGGAATAATGTGATTAATTTTTCTCACTCAGTTAAAGAATATACGGTGCAATTTTAAAGAAAGAAAATAATGGTGAGTCTATGCAGGTGGATGGTAAGCCTAGGATCGAGGAGAGTGGTGTGTGTGTATCAGTACATGGGAAGTTCAGATTGGGCTTATCACAAATTTTATAATCTTTATGTACCATCAGAATCGACTCCACTTACCACGAATTGTACTTGAACCACAATTTAAGAATCCTTGTCTTAGAGAATAAGACTAATTATTTTGGTTAAATAAATAATTAAGAACTACATGTACCAAACGTTTAATGTTGCATAGATCTTTTAATCGCATTTATAGAAAATTTACGACTCTGTATGCTACAATTTTCAGATAACTTCCAATATTTTTAACTTCAGTCCAAAATTTTATTGTCATTTGTTCACGTGTAAGCACAGTAGAGAAAGTAATCAGCAACTGTAAGTTTAAAATGGGAATTGTAAATAATCATGATGGACTATTTAAAATGGGGATCGTAAATAATTGTGGTGGACTATTTAAAATGGGGGATCGTAAATAATCATGATGGACTATTTAAAATGGGGGATCGTAACTAATCATGATGTATTATCTAAAATGGGGGATCGTAAATAATTGTGGTGGACTAGTTTGCTCCCAATTTATAACTTCTGGATTTTTTAATATCTGGGAGAATGAGAAGAAACAAATATTCTTTTGGTTTAAAAACGAAAAAAGATTAGTTGTACCAAAAGTTCAATGTCATGTGCAGATAAATATTTTAATCAAGTTTAAAAACTGTTTTGACTTGGTGTGCCATAAAAAAAAATCGACACCTATTCAATGATGATTTTAATCTCGGTCTGTATCTTATGACTAAACAGTTAAACTTTATCTGCAAGGATAACGAGCATACGTGCTTTTATCTGTTGAGCATTGCCTTCTAACGTGCTTTGTATTTCTCACCTGAACAAGATCTGCTAGTTACACATGACATTTTATTTTAAGGACTTAAACAACGCATGCACGAAAATGTATCTTTAGCTTTAGTTACTTGAAAAATATGTTGAAAGTTTGAATGATTTTTGAGATTTTTCAACTAACAATGATTTGAAAAAAAAAAAAGACTCAATAATATTTATCAAAAAATTTATTGCTTTTTTTCATGGTTTGATCAATAAATTTATATTTCTAAAATGAAAATTGTAGAATTACAATAATAATTAATTTCATAAACACTTAGTCAGAAGAAAGATATTTTCAGATACTCCTGTGATAATTAGAAATATTTGTTATTGGAAGGATCTACCCACATTAAAAATGTATGTTATATTTTTTCCTTAATCACATTTGTTAAAGTATTTAGCTAATAGAAAAGACAACTGTTGGCTAACAATTATTTGTATTTTCTCCAAAACGAAACTCTTAGTGAAACAATGTTATATCAGTTTTTGAAGCATCTTCCACCATTTTTTATATGTAAATGTAATTCTTAATATATTTATTTTTGATATTAATTGTTGTGCTGATAACTAAACGAGGATACTGTAGTCACTAAGGAAATGTTATCTAGATAATGATTTAAAATTAGACTAATACTCTAGTCATCTAGATAGTTTTTAAGTTGTTTTTTTTTCCAGTTACGAGGTTTAAGAATCATGTGGTATCTGTAAAGTTTGAACTCCCATGTGCAGGGTATAGTTGTCAAAAATAGATAAAATGGCATGAAAGCCTTGACACAATGTGTGGGTGTATGTGTAAATCCTTTTATTTTAGCAGACTGAAATTAATTTTTTTTTTCCTCTAATAAATGAAAAAAGATGGGAACAATTGCCACATTCGATACATACGTGACTTCTACATATTTATCTGTTTGTAATGTATCTTTGAACTATTAGCTATAATAAAATGTGAAATTGCAAAACATTATTCATGTATTGTTCAATAAAGACAAGCTACAAAAAAAACACAAAAACTGGTATCACATAAGGACTGTACTTTAAACAGCAGAAATCTTAGCAAGTACGTGCGTAAACTTACAAACATCCTGCTTTAACCATCTAAAATTGATCAGATTAGAAAATATATAAAAATGAAAAAGTACATGTAAAATAAAAGCATTAATAATTAGACCCAATGTAATCAGTACATTCATTTCAGTTTCATAAAATTGTAACTCTCATTTAAGGAATTAAATAGTTAAACATTCCTTGATTTAAGGTTCTCTCGTACAAAATTACCTGTTTGATTGCCATTGTAAGAAATTTATTCAAAGGAAAAAAAAAGTTTCCAAAATAATACTGTTAGTTACAAACTTTTAGCTTGAACAAAATTAGTACCCTGCTTGGCTTATCGAAATTTTGAAGTTAGAGTTAAGTGAAAAGTGTCTTCGCAAACTTGTAAATATAAAATCCGAAAGTACATTACTATCTTAAGGAAAATTAACAATCTCGTCTACCTCTGTCATTAGGCTTAACAATATGTGTAATAAAGTGTGAAGTCTAACTAGTAATACATCCATAGAAGCAAAGGCCAATTACCACATGATGTACAGCCGTAATGCATAAAACTTAGCATGTGTCTAATGTTAGATGCTACTTGCCAGGAATATCTGAATTTCCTTTATTTTACCCAACTCTTCAACCTCAGCTTGCTCTTCTTTTTCATTTTTCCTACGATTATTAGAATTCTCAAGGCACTCAATTTTCTTCGTATTTTCAGCCTTCACCGACAGTTTATTAAACTTCACACAACAAATTAATATCCTTCTAATAGTTTCTTTTTGGGAGTTTAACAACAACATATTAGACGCATTTCCTTTCGATTAACTTCTGCTCTTTTCTTCTAAGTATTCACTGTAATGTCACGCTGCAAAGAATTATCCGTTTTTTATTGTGAAAACACCACTGCCTTCAAACCTCCCGTATTGCCAATGTGGTCTTTTAAAAGTTGCCTAGCACGAGGTTGAAAAACTATGGCCATGTTAAACAAAGAGCATTTTTAATTATGTCCCACAATATCTAGTTGATGTGGAAGTCCCTATAGTCTGTCATCTTCTTGGTCTTTGCATCAAAGTCTGTAAACTGATTAAAAAGCAAAAGGCATGTTTGTCTCGACTGTCACACAAACAACTTAAACTTTTGGGACAAAATAAGAAAGTGGTCAGAGTAATCTATGGTAGGTTATAGGCTTCACTTGATTGATTAAAGATTGTTCTTTGAGTGAAAGTGAAGTTATGTAAATTAATATCATAAAAGCAAGGCAAGATATAGTTTTATTGCTTTTTTTTGTAAAAATATTATGCATATCGTACTGTAATTTCCTTGTTTCTCTAGTCAGTATATTACCAGTCAAACAGCTGCTAGCCTATCATGTATCGTTTGTACCTAAATTTTCCATATCATTCATCAGACATTTAGATTACAATTGTATATTGCAATAATCGGATATATTTATCCAAGTACAAAGATTGAAATGTTTTATTATAATAATTTTGGAGCTACACCACTTAGTCAAATTCCATGTTACTATGTCCATCTGATGACTGTGCATCTTGAAAATAGCCCTTCAGCTTAGTTTCTATTGCGAAAGGCTGTCATATCCAGAACACAACTCCTCCTCCTTGCTGCTTTCCATAGTCAGTCTCTTGTGTAGAAGGATTATGGTTTCCCACCTGTTTTTACAACCTGATCACACAGAATTCAATAGGTGCCTTATCTGGCAACTTTATCGATATATCTTCTGCTTGAGGTATGCAGTGGTTGAATGGATGTTTCACTTATCCCAGTGAAGATCCTTTTTTATTATATTGTGTACTGTTGCCTGGAATACATAGCTGGCTTTTCATATTGACCTTTGTGTTTTTGGATTTTTTACCTGTTACAAATCACCACACTTTCCTTACCATAGCTTGGATATGACTTGTTGCAGGTCTCTTTATGGAAGATCCTGGGTCCCCAAGTTGACCCATGTTCCTTTGTTTTCCAATGCAATTACATACAAGATATCTCCATCTTGGAAATTATTAATTCCCCAATATGAACATATCTTTATAATCTGAATGATGAATATTTCACATGGCAAAGGCTGTTAAATAACCTTTGCAAGTACTATCAATTTTCAGTAACATCACACTATTTAAGAATGTCAAAATACATGGTGTTCCACTGTGACTTTATATCAACAGTGAATGTCATGCAATTTGCATACTCAAAATCATTTAATATAACTTACTCATCCATGTATACAGGATGATTCAAAAGTTCATTGGAGGGCAGATGATTTAGAAATAAAGGTGTAGGAAAAATTTTAGTGGTATGGATGAGGTGTTATGGGCCTACCAAGAGACTAAAGAAATGCACAGCAAGATTCTGGAAATGTTTACAAGGTCAAAGTATTTGTGTGACTTCAATACAAAATATAATTTTCAACTTAATCTCTTAACAATATCAGACTCTTAATGCTACTTTTTAATTAAGTAGCAAACAACAAGAGTTGGCCGTGATGATTGTTTGTACCAAAAAACCCAATCTGTAAAGTATAAACGTATCCATTTTATAATTGGTTAAAGCAAATGACTGCTTTCATACTTCCAGAGACACTTTTGCCCAGTATCTTCCTTGATTTATCAACAATGTTGTAAAAGCAAATTAACCTGTGCTCCTTAATTTGTTTTTTTTAATTATACTTAACCCTCAAAATATTTTGCTATTCACTTAATATTTGGGGTCCACAAATTAAGTAATTTTATGTTTTTGCCTGTTAAAACACCATGTAAAAGAACGTATTTAATAAAATGGTTGAAACCACGGTCCCAGCAGTAATTAATGAAATTAATTGCAATATTGGCAACATTTATATTTAAAATTTTGTGACTTGTGTTATTACGGACCTTGCAACCAAGAGTTATGTCCCACAAGCAATGTGGTGCAAAAATAGTACAGAAGAATGTGTTAAAAAAAGCTGAAGGATACAGACTATCAGTAATTCTAAGGTTAATATCATAATCTTTTATCTAACTGTGTTTTACAATTCAATGAAACTGTCTAATTATGTGCACCACCCCATCGCATATTTTGAAGTTAAGACTATAGGGAGGGCAACTAGTTGAAACTACCAACTCTTGGAATACTTGAACTGAATAGTGGGATTTGACCATCACCTTTATAATGTACCCATAGTCCTTTGGTGATAAAGAGAATTGTGAACTATGGAACCCCGCTTGGCCCTCAGTGAAATAGACAAAACTTGCATGAAATTTAATAGTATTCATATTACAAATCACTGAAAGAATTCATTTATTATTTTTCAAAACAAATACATTATCCTTATAAACACGATCTTTGGTTGAATTTATTTTAACAATTATACTCTCTTAGAAATTCAATCTTCTTTAAACTAGTTCTAAAAATTCGGTTTACTACGTAAGAATAGTCTACATAAAATAACTAAGCCTAACTCGTATCCGATATTTACTAGTAATTCTACATTGTGACACGACAAGAACTGTTTGCTTTCCGTAATCTTAATACTTGATATTTATTAGTTCAATCATCATAGAACTAGTTCCTTAAAAAAAATTCATCCTAATAATGAGATGTTTTATCACAAGCACTAAAAGCTTTCATCAATCATCATATCCTTAATGATCAACCAGCAATAAATCCTTTCTATTATAACCATCTGTCTTTCATTAGTTAATTGAAAACCTATTTACTGTAATAACGAAGATTAATATAGAAAAAAATATGATACTCGATGAATTAAAAATAAAATTCACTTATAGAATAATAAATATTCAAAACAATTTAGGAACTGATAAATACCATGTTCTTGACAATAAACGTTAACCTACTGGTATTTACTACAGACTGTACCAGATTTGTATAAAATGTATCCGCTTATAACTGGCAAACCACTGGGCAGATTGTCATCAAACCTGGTATATACCATTAGGACCCCCCAGGGAGTGACAACATTATCCTGATTTCTCCATGTTCTACTTTTAGGCCAATCAGAAACCACATCAATAGTTAGTCCAATCAAAAGATGGGACAACCAAACTGGTTTCACTACAAAGATGTCAAAAACAAAGAACATTCAGCTACAAATGTGTCTTGAAAAAAATAATTCAAAATTTGGATTTCACTCTCATTACAAAGGGAATTGAAAAGAAACAGACAAAAAAAATATTTATCCTGTTATGGGACTCCAGCTCATCATGGCATAATCTTAACACAAAAAACAAATGCCAAGTATATTTAAACGGTATCCATAAAATAAACTAAGTGAAAATAACAAAGAAAACGCCAAACACAACAGTAACAAATGGTGTCCTGATAAAAGTACTCTTGTAAAACATGGGCGTTCCAGAAAATTATATCTTAAAAATTATGCATTTTGTATCACTATGCCAACCAAATCTTTTATTACTAAGCTAACCAAAATTGCTTTCAAATTCACGTTTTCATTACCTGCTACAACTAAATACTTTACAGAAAAAAAAAACCTTTTTTACTACGTACTTACTTTCCTTTCATTAGCTAGCTGAAGGAACATTTTACTCTACTAACAAATATTTCTTCATTCCTTCAATGGACCGAAGTTCGATCTGGTGGCTCCTTTTTTAAAATTTTTTACATTATTAATTTATTTTAAAAATTGTCTGTTGTTTTAAGCATTCTAATCATAGCTTATGTTAACCTTTGTTTTTGTAGTTTTAACAAATAGTATAAAACAACATCTTTATGCTTAACACGGGAGCAAAAACCACTACTGCAAGTACAACATGTCAAACATTTTTAAAACTCAAAGTTTCAGAACAAATGGTTACCTAAAATCAAGGGGTCCAGACGTCTAGTGTTGGACTGCTTAAAATAAAATCTTAATTTAAATGAAAAACAACAGTAAAAACTCAACCAGTACAGTATATGGCATACAAAAGTCAAAGCAGGAGTCCAACAATGTACTACCAAAATCAAAGATCTTCTTAATTAAACAAAACTCAAAGTAATCAGGAAAATTTGAGATTACACCTCTTGTTTTGACCAGTATATTAATCACTCTTAAACAGCATGTAAAGCTAATGCATTTTTAAAAATAGATAAATCTTCATATAATATCTACATATGTGCTATCTATGCATAGTCATATATATAATATTGGGCACAATAATATATTTGCAACTTCCAAACAAGAAGAAACAAACCAAAGATGGAGTTAACATGCATGTACTTTGGGCACTCCACTTATAATTAAGGTATATATAAACACCTCACATACCAGAGCTTTACATATAAAACTGTTTATTTTATACTTGATTTTAACTATATGTAACTATTCTATTTTATCACTTTCTTGCTAAGTTTTAAATTGTATTTATTATTTTTTGTTTCGTAAATAATATAACAATCTATACATGGGTTTGCTTGATCGGTGCTAATAAAACGTTCCATGTACCAAAACAGGTTTTGCAAAATCAAATACAAATTATACTTGTTTTTTCTTTCCAGAACTAAAGAGTTGCGGAGTTTGTTTTACTCAAACAAAGATACCACTTAATTTATGCATAAAAATAGCTTATAAAAATATACTTTACGATATCAAATTAATGGAACTTTTTCTTTTGCTTCGTTACTTCATGTGTTAAGATGCGTTTCTTTGGTCATTTCATTGTGTTGCTAGTACATGTAACTATCCAAATACTGTTGAAAACTGTTTCAGATACAATGATTCAAATTTCTTTTATGCTAGTGACATAATAAAGGTCCTTTGACACATCTAAACTTTCTATGGACACATTTCAATATCATGCATTCCTGCTTCCATTAACTTCAATTTTTCATTGCCTAGTAAATAATGATGTACGTTTTATCTTCACAATTACCTACCCTCTGGAATAATACCATCTTCCTCTTCCTCTGGTGCCCTACTTACAGCTGTATCCCGTGTATTTCCTGCATCATTATTATCTTCTCTAACTGTTTCTCCAGCCTCTTGCTCCTGTGCATCTTCTGTAATAGTATTTTTTCTACTTCCTCCTGAACCATCCTCAAGGTCTACGGTGTTCTGATCTGCTGGACCATTCTCAGATGCCATGGTACTCTGGCCTCTTGGACCATCATCAGACACCATGGCACTCTTGTCACCTGAATGATCTTCAGATATCATGGTGTTCTGGCCTCCTGTACCATCATCAGACACCATGGTACTCTGGCTT